ACTTTGTCCATTTTATTAATTAAGTGCATATCGATGAAATCTTTATTTTTTATGAAACATGGAACCACAGACTCCATTAATATAATACATTTATGGAAAAATCATGGAAATGTATATTTTAATTTATTAATATAAATGGAAAAACACAGAGTAAATTTTTACAGGGGTTTTACATACTGAAATAGGTACTAGCACTATTAATATGGAAATATGTGACTTTTTGACGCGGTTAATTGAGTCATATGAAAGCAATATAGATGATTGAGTTTGACGCAATTAAAAATTGAATTTTGGGAATTGAGTCAAAACTGAACTAATCTTGATAACATACATGTATCAAATTTAAAGTATGGAATTGCAATTTGAAAAAACCAAATTCATGATTTAAAAGTATGCATAAAAATGAGTGATGCATTAATAATTATTACATTGGGTAAGTTGAGCTGTTTAAATGGTTGAATATATACTAACATTGCATTGTTGGAGAAGAAATAGAAATATATTTGTTACCAGAATTAGAATTTAATGCTAATTTGATGACTAAAGCTCATTTTATTTTTATTTATTATTATTTTGTATAATTATTTATATATTATGAATGCACATTGTTTAATTCATACCGGTGAAAATACTTTATTAATAAAATCCAACACATTGATATTATATCATTTTCCAACAGCTTAATAAAAACATATATTTATTTGTTGAATAACAAATAGGCACAGATTTCTTCAAGTCTACAAAATGGGAGTTTTCCACTTGACTTTTTAATAACGCTGAAAAACACTGAAATAATCATGCCACAAGAATCATATTTATACCTTGATTGTTTTATTTTATTTTTTCTTTGCTGACTACTTAAAAGAAGAATCAAAATTTTCTTAAAGAAAAATGCAAATTGTTAATTATAATACAGTATCCCGTTTTCACCTATTCATGATTATGTAAATGAAAAAATGTTTTATAGAGTCCTGAAAATACAATTTATGATCATCAATTAGATGTAATTGTCCAATCTAGTACTCTTTGACTCGGAAACCATTCACGTAATAGCCCCTTTAAAATTTCAAATCAATTGTACAAATAATCTATCCATCTTTTAATTACATTTCTAATTTTTTTAATGAGAGTCGAAGTTTCTCGTGACAAAATCACAGATCTTTACAAATTTGGAATCTTCAAAACCAAGATCCGCATAAAAATTTTGGGGTAGCGCAACAATCAACATTAACAAGTTCATAAAAATGAAAGGGCTAAAAAATTCATTGAGAAAATAAAATGAGCATTTGCAAAGTCAAATGGGAGCAAAATTATTAGTACAAATCAGCTGAAGAATTCATAAAAAAATTTCTGAAACACTAAATACGTAATACTAAATTTGTAAATCAATGAAATCAATGTAAATCATAACAATAATAATAACAGCATACGGAAGGAAATTTGCATTCTCCGATTTTTCGAGTGTATTTCCATGCCAATACACATAAAACAAATAAAACATGCGGAAAATTGCTTTTTTCCGCATGTATTTTAATATTAATATAATGTTGATCTGGAAAAAGCAATTTTCCGTATATTTTATTTACAAATTATTGTCATTTATTATTATATTATTTTGTGATCAGGAAAACTCCGAATCTTTTCCGGAATTTTTCTTTTTATGTAGTTGAGCGCGAAATGTCCATGATAACCCCTTGGCTTTATCCAGGAAAAAAAAAAAAAAAGGAATATTATTGATGCCCAAGATTATCTTGATAAACATTGTTCCTAGAGAAAAGAGCCATTGTTTGTTTATTTACCTAATGAGGATGTCTTCCGTTTGTAATACAATGTCAATCTTATTTGAATTACCAATTTCACTTTACTCATTTTGAGGTTATTGGTTTATTCGTTTGGAATATTTGGAATCTTTATTTATTTAGTTTGTTGAATTATTTAATTTATATGCAAAGAATTTAATAAATGACAACACTTCTAGTAAGCCAATATTTAGATTTGATCCTTAGAAGTTATTGATTTGGAAAAAAGTTTTCGACGGGGAATGGATGTTTTCCCGCTTCAGGAAAGTTGTAAATATCGACGACTAACCTCACTTATCAATTTCAATATCTTCATCTGGCGCATAAATATCAACAAAATTGATTATTTTAGTTAACAAGATTTCAATTACTGATGATTTTATTCGAATTATCTGTTTCGTTTGTTTCATTCGAATAACTTTTTGTTGTAATTTGAATACTTAAAATTAATAACAAATAATTCGAGTAGAAACCTTTTTCTGAGGAGAACTGGCTTTTTGGAACCAGGAAGATCTCAGTAGCGGTCAGCTATTTATAGCAGAAAGTGTATGTAAGGTTGACGTAACTAAAAATTAACGGTGGTTTGTAGGAAAATATCGAGTGGCTAAAATTTACACGGATCGATTGATTCTTATATAAAATTAATATAGAGATTTTTTTTTGAAGTTCTATATTTATCTAGTCTACCAATTTTTTATGTGCAGACATAAAATAGATCAAATAAAAGCTTGAAACCTACTCTATCACTTGTTGGTGTTTATCTTTTTCACATTCATTTATTTTTATTTTTATTTTTATTTTTAACGAAAATTTTATAATTAAATTTTTTTGAGCGCCCAATTTTTAACTTTCATTGTTTGGTAATTACGATCAGTAATTCAAGATTTTCGTCGTTTTGTATAATAAGCACAATTTGAAATTTTAGCCCATTATGAACTCAATCTTTGCTAAATTTGCATAATAGTATACAAAAATACTAGCCTCTCAAAATCAAAATCTAAGATTAATAATACTAAAGTCACATTCTATTGTGTAACCATTACAACATTATTTATTATTATGTATATATTAGAAAAAAAAAATATTCAAGTATGTAATTATCATAACAACATGCTAATCCGTCAAAACTCTATTCTGTGTATGGAAACGCACCAAACATAGATTTCGAAGGTGATTGGTGTATTTTTTTCTGTTTTAAAGCCAACTAACCAAAAATGTGTTAGTGAGTGAATGGTTCAATGTGACATTGAATTCCCTTTTGTAATTCGGAATAATAGTGAGGCGCGGCGCTTTCAAACAGAGTTTTCCCGGTCCTATTCCAACATTAGAATATTTGTATAGGCGTTACGCATAATTATTAAATATTTTTTTTGTATGAACTATTGAACAATCGAAATCAACTCAAAGGATTTTTAATTTTATCAACAACTTAAAAATTCAATCTAACACAAATTATTTAAACGCTAGTACTAATACTAATATCTCTATCAACGATTTAGGAAAATATTTAATTTTACCATTGATTAAATATTAAATATTAATAAATCGTACAAGGAGTTTTTTGTATGAATGAGTGAGTGTTGCATCATGCTATTGCTTTTTGAAAAATTTAAAATTTTTTGAATTAGTAATTTTTTATGGCGGTAGTGTTCGCGCGTTACAATCGATATGTAAGGGAATTTTATTAATAAATATTATGAGGCTTATTTTGTCATTCTACGCACATAAATTTTTATGATTTTTTTTTCAAACTTTCTTTATTCTAAGAAGAACAACAACTTTCTTCAATTGGAATTTCTCTCTCACATGCTTATGAGAACAAAGTAAAATTATCGTTAACATCAATTCACATTCTTTGAAGATTATTTTCATTTCAAACTCCCAAGGTCTGATGAAGTTTGAAAAACAATTGGAAAAAAAAAATTTTACAATGAATTAATATTAATGTTGGACAGAATGTTTATATAATTATTATAGTTACTATTTTAGGACAAATAAAATTACAATGATATTTATTATTATATACATGTATATAGGGTACATTATAACAAACGAACATAGGGTTCAAAATTTTAGTGTCCAGTTTTACTGCTATAGTGCTGCCATTCCATAACGATGGTTATATTCTGCATACTAATAAATCAATCCCAGGAGAAAATAAATACATGGACGAATTATCATCACACATTGAATTGTATTAATTTATTAATGATATCGCTTTTTGGAAAAAAAAAAAAAAAGAAATTAATTTTATTATTGTTGCTGCATGTAAAATATTATTAGCAAAGATTTATTGTTCGCAGTCAGTGTTCTAGAAATACTTGATCGTAATCCGCTCTCCAGTTGTTGTTTTTTTATGGGTTTCTTTGGTGGAATAAAATGTGTTTCTTTATCTAATGTAAAAGGTTACATAATTTTAAACCTTAATGTTATATATAGTAGCGATGGTAATGTTTTCCGGTCATTTTAGCTACTGTTAATGCTGAAAAGCTTTTGAGCCATCTTATGCTTTCAGAGAAACTGGCAAGCTACTTGTAATGTCATAGTGGAAGTTTTGTAGTAGGTCACTTGAAAACAGATTACATTAATTTGTTTTAATAAAAAAACTATTTCATCACAAATTCGTTGTTATTGAAGTTATTCATTTTTTATAAATTAAAAATCATGGATAAAACCATCGTGGCGTTCAAATCGAACCCTAGTTTCTGTTACTGCATATTTGTTCACTCGTTTGTTTGAATTCCATAATAATAGTGATAGTAATAGTAATTTATTTTATAAATACAATTTATATATATAAAAATAAAACCTGAAATTGGTTTAACATTTACACTACATTTTTATTTATTTTTTATTTTATCAATCACAATTGATTATTACATGATGTAAATAATAAGCATTCTTTTATATTTATTACTTACCATATCGAACATATCACAACAAAATGACGAGAAAGTAAGTGGAGAGTGAATATGCTACAAAGAAAAATTACACAAAAAAAAATTACCATATTAATACAATGAATAGAGAAAATAATTTATAAATAAATAGAGCAAAATCTTTTCAAATCAATTTTAAATTATACGAAAAAAATTTCATTTTTTTCTCATTATTTATCATTGTCATTATTTACAATAATTTATTATTTATTTAACATTATTATTATCATTATTATTATCATAAATAAAAACTATCCACAACATGAATAAACTGATTAATCTAGGTCTCGGTATATTTGTATGCTTCATCGAAAGATAGTTCAATAATCAAATGCCTGGGTTTTACTTTACATCCAACAGAAGGCTATATGCTGGTATTTGAGTATGCAGAAGAAGGTGATCTGAGAGGATATTTGAATGCAAATTATTCCAATTTGACGTGGATTGACAAAATCTCTATCTTAAGAGATGTAGCAAAAGCAATGCTATTGTTGCACAATAAAGATTATATACATAGTGACTTACATCCAGGCAACATTTTACTAAAGAAAAATAGAGATTCGTTTCCATATTTATCCTCTTCCGCATCATCATCAAGATCATCATTAGCACTATCGACCAAACCGTCGCCATGTAAAAAGAAATTGGTTGAAACAAGAGCCTTGGTGGATTTGTCGTTGTTTTATGATTTGAAATTTAATAAGGAAATATTTGGCGTGATACAGTACGTTGCACCTGAAGTATTCACCAATGGTCAATATACAAAGAATTCGGATGTTTATAGTTTTGGATTGATTATGTGGGAGTTGGCAACTGGCCAAACCCCATTTTTAAATTATAACGATGATGGCAATTTGGTTAATGACATTATAAATGGCAAACATTTCGAAGCTTTGTCAAACAATAAAAACATACCAAAGGATTACATAGACCTGATGAAAAAATGTTGGGAGTTGGAACCAACTAATAGACCATCATTTCAGGTGATCGTTACTAAAATAGGCGAATGGATGTCTTCTCCTTCTAAGCATTTCTCCACAAAAAAATCTAAACCACTTGAATCGACTGATAAAGCTATCAAAAAAGAATCAAGATCAATCATAAGACTTCCTTTTTCTCGTAATCCATCTCCCCTCGCCTCTAATGATAATAATAGCAAGAACAACGGTAAAACCAAAAGCAAGAATACTAATAGTAACGTTAGTTCTATTCAAAGATTTAATAGTTTATCAAGTAAATCCTTATCTAAATACGTTCAACAATTAGAAGATGGTAATAACAACATTGATGATATTAATGTCAGGTATAATGATTATTATGATAATAGTGAGAATGACATTAAAATTAATAATTACATTAGTAAATATTATGGTAATAATAATTTTAATAACTATTCTAATGACAATCAATTTGCTCCTGCATTTAATGGAAATTATTTGTTTAAATAATTATTTAAGATAGCTAGCTATCAATGTAAATATTATTTATTATTATATTATTATATATTTACTATTTTAATTACTAGATTTTTTTAATATTGTATAAATTTTTTATTTATTTAATGATTGATACATTCTTATCTTATATACTTAATACTTAATTTCTTTTACATATCTTCCTCTCTCTAGAATAAACTTTTTTAATTTAATTTTCTTTCAAAATTATTACCCAAACAACAGTGAAGGTGTATAATATATATATATATATATATATATAATGGATTTTTGTTTCTGTCATATGTCCGTCCACTAATAATAATATCATAGATGGGCATCACTATCGCTAGTTAAAATGCCCTCACTGTCCAATATCAATTGAACAATGTAACGTGAGTTCATATGAGCTCTTGGGTAGGAATTTTGGATGGAAACTGCATAAAAGTTTCTTCAATAATAGCAATTGCAGTATACTTGTTGCTAAATTGTAATTTTTTAACAAATATATTAATTTCATGCTCTTTGCTTTCGTGTTCGCTGTTTGTTTTGTTGTTCTTTTTTGCTAATCATTATTATAATAACACCATCCTAGGTGTGATATATATATTCGGAATCAAGTCAAATATATGGAAGCCACAATTTTCAGGCTTTGGCCATTCTTTTAAAATCATAAGCTTTTGATAATTAAATGATGGACCGAAATCAATTTATATTAGGTAGCTAGCTATTGAGCAATATAGTCTCAAATATAAGAATGTCAAGTTAAGCAAGAAGATCTCTCAACAAAATAAAGCATCAAACCTAATAGTAAAACTGTATTATTATTGAAACTTCCGTTTTTATATTTTCAAAAGAACTATAATTGTTGTTTCTGTGGTGGAGGGTAGATTTCAAAACCGTCCATCAATCAAATATCACGCTCCATGTGAGACTACTACTACCAATCAATTGCTCCCTTAAACTGGTGGTGGTAACTAATTAGAATATTTCTATTAAATCAAAGAAATTCAATAGAAGTTAAAGCTATATTTTTGATAATATACAAAAGTCAATGATATCCGTATTTTCTTTTTTTTTTTTTGATTCGTTTTTTAATTAGGTGCTTCTACTGTCCTACATTCCAAGGATTTTACAACTGTGATCACAATTTAACTATATTAACTAAGCTAACTACATTTTTTAGGACGTTTATGCCCCTTGTATCTCTGTCTTTAGGAAGATCTATCTATGTTTGATTGTCAAGCCATATAAAGTTTATTCGATACATGATATAAAAGAAAGTTCTTTTCTGCTAAAAATATCCTTATACGAAAAGTCATAATATATAATAATGTTAATGTGTTATTTTCACTCGTTTCCTCTGTATTCTATGTATTTCCTTGTTTGTATTTGAAGATGTGCTTGAATACGCACTTGAATGAAATGAAGGATTGAAATATTCCCGATGATCAAAAAAATATTTATTTTTGATCGTCCAAGTTGCATTATTTAGATTTGCTACTCAATGAAAAGTCAGTAGAACCTTCTACTAATAGACTAACTGAATCCTTTTATCAAAACAGCCTGCTATCTTGGCGAGAAGAATTGTTTTCGGGAGCCAAAAAAATTCTATACCTATTATTATCAAAATTTTTATATTTAGTTGATTGCAACCACTCCAACCTATTATGTAATATTAAATCATGAATATTTTTCACCGTCTTGGCTCAATATTATCCGGTTTAATGCTTCGAATTTAATAAAAGATTCATTTGTTATTATGCCATTTTGTCAGTCCGTTAACGGAAATATTCCAAGTATTGCCAGTGTAACTAACTGCCCGAACTGTTTTCATTCTTTAAATAGATTATAAGATCAAATCCTAATAATATATTTTATGCCAATTCATTTTGTTGGATCTTCAATGCGATGCTTGGCGTATAAGCTTGGAAGTCTCATTTTTTTGTTTTAGCTCTCGTAACCAAACAACCATATTACCTGTATTGATATAAAGTTCGTCGTTCTGAATTCTTTTTGCCTTATTTAATTTTGCATACGTTAAAAGTAACGAGCATATAAAGCCTTTATTAATTCTTTATACGGTTTAATCATTACCTGATATAATATAATGCTCATTAATCAATGTCGTCTTTGACCTTTAAAATGCTAAATGGACAACGTTCACAAATCTTCATAGAAAATTCTTAATAATAAATAGAAGCAATCAATTTTCTTCTTCCTCGATAGAAAAAAAATTTTAGAGGTTAGTATATTTTAGATGAATTTAAGGGGGGAAAAATTTTTTTTTTGATTTGATCATCAATTTGTCAAAAACAAATTAAAACAACGAAAGATTTGAATGCAAGATGCAATTTCTTTTACTCGAAGTTCTGAAGTTTATGGAACTATCCCATATTTTTTTAATTATAAACCATATACAAAGGAATCAATATTTTTTGACTTGGGTCAGAATCAAGTCTTTTCCTGCTGATATTTATAGTTTTGGAATGATAATGTGTGGCAAGTATATTCCACAATGGAGGAAAAGACCTAAAATTACCAAAGACACAGGCTCCTTCTAATTTCTATATGCAGATAGATTTGATCAAGAAGATGTTTATTATAACGCAATACTAAAATATCAACATTAGGTTTCAGAACATAAGATAAACTGAATTTTGCGAATTGAGAAGATGATGAAGCAATTATTAATATTTATTCATTTATTTGTTTATTAATTAATTTGTAAGAAATAGATAGATAGATTATTTTAAATTATTGTATATACAAATTTTGTTTTATTAAATATGGATTTTTTTTTAAATAAAGTTATGCAAGTATGTTTATATTGTATATATTCACAAGTGTGTAAATCTATGCTTTATGCTTATACCCTCTACGCAAATTATTAATTAAATAACTTCTTCATAACTTGGTGGAGGTTTATCATAAAGAAGATAATTATTGTTATGATGTTGATGCTGATGCTGATGCTGATGCTGATGCTGATGCTGATGCTGATGCTGATGCTGATGCTGATGCTGATTATCATGCTGATGCTGATTATCATGCTGATGTTGATTATCATGCTGATGCTGATTATGATCGCGAGTACAAATTATCCCGCTTGAATCAATTTCCTCCCCTAATATTAATACTGCCATTCTTTGATACTCGGGATGGCAAGGACAATAAATCGAATTTTCCTCATAATCAGGCAAATAAACAAAATCATCTAAAGCCAAACACGACAACAACTTTATTTTTTGATTGATTCGTAATTTTGTTCGTTGATATGGATGTGAAGGTAATGTGGTGATGAAAGTGAATTTCAACTCGTGACTAACATTGATCAATGGTGTATTGCATGAATAATTTGTTGGTCCTTTACACTTTGGTAATTGAAATGAAATGAGTTTGTGATAAACCAAATTGCCAATATCTCCTTCATCATGATCTTGTAGTAGGCTATCCCGACCCAGATCATTGATTGACATAGTATTTGATACATTAACTTCCTCAAACTTCCGTTGTTTCGGTTTATACTTAATCTTCTCCACCAATTGAACTTTTACACCATGAATTTTTATTTTTTTAGTTAATGGTGTCAACCTGACCTCGATTGGTATCGTTTGTCCCATGATGAAATGTTTCTTTGGTATTGAGATTTCGTAACTTAATAGCTCATTCAGATCCCTTGAAATCCCAATCCCTCGATCATTCTCGTGATCGTGCAAAATACGTACAATGTAAACCTTGCACGTTTTACTCAGCACATTTAACAGCTTTCCTTTACATCTCAGTTTCGCCACCAATCGATAACTCACTGAACCTTTAGGGGTCTTGATGGATTCTGGTAAATTTCCGGGAACATATATTTCAAATGGAAATGAATGTTTTCCAGCCATTATTAGTGATGACGTTGACGTTGATTTTGGTTTAGTAGTGTTAATGTTGTTATTTTTTAAATTTAAAATGACTGGCAAATGATTTTTTATTCTAAACAATTTTTTATATTTTTCGTATTTACATTTATTATTGTTCGAATTTGCTGTTGCATATGATCTTAATGATGTTGAAGGAGTTGAAGGAGATGGTGATGATGAGGTATTGTTGATAAATTCCCAATGATGTGAGATTAATTCTTTTCTTTCTTTTACACATTTATGACCGATTTCTAACAATAATAAATAATAGTAAATGTAAAAAATTATTATATATATATTTTTTTTTTAAAAAAAAAACAGCAAAAAGAAACGTAGATAATTACTTATTGATGATGAATCATTCATGAAAACCATTTCAGGAAAAAAGGCTTTGGTTTTTCCAATAAACTCCAGTTCAAGTTTATCTATTTTCATCGGTTTTTTCAAGTTTAATTCCAAAACACCTCTCAACAAATATCCGGTTGCTTCTTGTGTACTACCTCGAAATATTATTACTGGTTCAACTAAATCTATTTTTATTATATTTTTATTGTTGCGTGATGGTAAAATCTTTGATAAAATTTTATTACTATGATCATGATTGTGATGATGTGATGATGTTGATGTTGATGTTGATATTGATGTTGATGTTGATGTTGATGTTGATGTTGATGTTGATGATAAAGTTGAGTTGGTGGCGGTTAAGATAGAATTGAAAGTGTTGTTATTATTATTGCAGTTATTGTTGTTGTTTTCATTATTTGTAGAAAATAAAGGTGGTCGTTGATAAATTCTTTGTGACGATGATGATTGTAATGATTGTAAAAAATTCATTTTTTTTATTTTTTCAAAAAAAAAAAAAAACAATGTATGAAAAATTTAATTAAATTTATACAAAATTGTTTGAAATTTTTTTTACTAATCAATTTTCCAATTTTGGTTGGGAGCTGTTTATCTGGTACTATTACTTATCAGTGATTTATTTGTTCATTTTTTTTTTTATTTTTTTTATTGTTTGTATATATATATGTATATACACTCACAAAAAGGTCATGAACCATTTTTTTGATAACCAATCAAAAATAAATTTTTTATTGATGATTGTACGTACATTAATATATTTATTTTCCAGTTTTTTTTTTAATTACCGCGAATGCTTTTGTAAAATCTTGATTTCCTTAAATCCAAAACTCGTATATAGCAAATAGTCAAATTATTGGTATTAGTATATATGTCTAGAAGCGAGTGACATATTAGTATATAATATTCTAGTAACACAACAGATTTGCACCTTGACATCCAAATTTGTCTAATATTATTAATATTAATTAATACAACAATGAAAAATAATTGTCCTAAAAAATTCGCAAAAAGTTTTTTTAAAAAAAGCTAGCATCAAATGACACAATTCGTAATCATTTATTTAGTATTAGTATTAGTATTGAATTTCTTCTAATATCTCAGCTCGAAAATCTTTATAACTGATACTCTGAAAGAGAATCGATCTAATTGGTGTTTAGTGAGACAAACATGGTCAATTAGAAAATAGGGGAAACGTGATGAATCTAGGTTTGCAGTTTTAACAATGATGACCCAAATCGTGTCCTGGTACTCATTTTGGCCAAGAAAATTTGGTGACAACCGTAAAATATAATGGTGGTAGTATCATGGTGCCCAAGTAGAGTACTAGGTCCCGTGGAAGGAACAATGAATAGAGAGGATTATTGAGAAAATATTCGTTGTCCTGCATACATTGAAAAAAAATTTAAAGGAAAAAGTTATATTTTTATCAAGATATAACAGCTTGGATTCAAAGAAAAAAATAAATAATAATAAAACTCTTGAGAATTGACATTCACGTTCGCTTTGACATGAATCAAATTGAACAAATAAAAATTTTTTGGGGGATGATCCATGACTTTTTGTATAAAGGACCCTGAATACGCCATACTTCTTTCTATTAGATTAACCAGGACTCTCTCTGTGTTAATACAATTTGACTTTTGTTCCTGGATAGCATTTTGTTGCTTACTAATTCTTTAAACTTGATTTGTAATTTTTTTATTTTAGGTTTGTTTTTCTTTAAATAATTTAATTGCTTTTTTTTTCCTCTAATAAAATCCTTATGATCTTCCTTATCCTTTAATCTTTTTTGACTGCTCGTGCATTATGAATTAGTCTTTTTCTTTTATTGGGCTTCGGTATTTTATTAAACACGAAGACTTTTTTTGCGATTCTAAATCAATAAAAAAAAAAATTTTTTTTAAAAATTCATTTTTATGAATCTTTACAAATGATGACTTTTGAAAATAAATTAAACTTTGCACAAGGAAATTGGAAGTGGAAGGAAAACTGGCAAGATTGAGTGAGTTGAAGATAAAGCTAGCGGGAGAAGAATGGGGTGATTATAAAGAAAAAAATAAATGGGAAGTTGAAGTAAAATTACTCGAGGAGGGGAAGTTAGAAGAAGACAAATTTTTTTGGAGAGATATGTGTCGATTGAAAAGGATAAAGAAAAAGGTAATGAACAAATTGTGTAAAAAAAAAATTTATTTTTCGTTAATTCCATTTTGTTTATTTATTTATTTGTATACTGTTTATGACTTGTGGTTTTTTCCTTCAATATTTCGATTTTGATTCTTTTTGGATTCTTCGCCAATTTAGTCAATGAAGGTAAGCATTTATATACTGTTATTTATGTTGCTGCTGATTAGTTTGTAATTAACTTATGCTCTTGGATTATTTGCGCTTGAATATTCCAATGAATATTTTGCTTTATTTATCATCAAATTTATTGTAAGTTTTGCCATTAGATGAGTTGGAATACCTGCTACCAGAACCACTTTTTAGAACAAGTGGATATTCTTGGGATTATCAAAAATCAAATGAATTGAGGGAACTGTTAAGAACAACCATAACTGAATACTACAAAAATTACACAAAACAGCAACTGGATAAAAGCACCACACCACTATTTTTTATGATTGCTGGTGCAGGAGAAGGAAAATCTAGGAATGCAAATGAGTTACCAAATATATTGCATGAAGAGTTTGCTTCCCATGAAGAACTGAAAAAACGATTTGAAAATGCATTAGTATTTAACATCTCTTTTGAAAATGGCACTAAAATAGACCTATTAGAAGAATGTAATGCTGTAACTGCCATTGCAAAACGAATGCTTTTTCAGCTAGAAAAACATAAAGGTGGCTGGATGGAAGCACTTCGAAAATATCCAGATGTATCACCAGATGAAGTAGTGTCAAAGATTGCTAAACATCAAAATGTCCAACCTAAGGATTTGACCATCATTATTGTGATTGATGGGATGCAAGCAGCAATTCACCAGGAAGATAATGGAGTAAATAAATCATCACTATTCTATTCATGTATGACAGTTTTGAATAACTTTGCTGCATCAGGACCATTTGTGATAGGATGTTCCACAGCAACACTTAGCAGACCTTTTCATGTTTTTGTGAGTGCTTCACATCAAAAGCGAGTGTTTTTACCAATACCATCTTTATCACCACCAAAAAGACAATGAATGCCTGTTTTTGTTAACAATAATCTTATTGACATGCTTGTTAGTGATATGGGAGGTCATGGTCGGGCATTAGAAGCACTAGATGAAGCTCTTAATGATAAAGATTTAGAAAAAGTTAGCTTTCTAACCATAATGGAAGGTGTTTATGCAAAATTATCAGATTTTTACAATGAATGGATTAGCCAAACATCTTATTTGAAGCCAATTCTTCGTATAATTCTAACACAAGTTATAGTAGAAGCAAATAAAGTTATTCCAGGGACTAACTTAAAACCAGAAGACTTTTCAAAACTGGGTCTAATTAAGTTTGAAAATGAAAGATTGGGGACGTCTAACCTGTCCATACATATGGCTTTGGCTTTTATCAAATGCATCTGAGGACCCCACATTACAGAGCTGGAATTTTAAATACTACCAAGAAGTTCAACACAATGAAGATTTATCAGTACCTCCTGGATGTCAATACTGGCAGCATTTTGAAGAGTTTATTGGAAGGATTCGAGTTTTAAAATCATAGGTTTTTGATCCTAATCAACACGTTGACTTAAAGGAACTTCATAGTGGAGCATGGCATAATTTTGGTGACATAAAGATTATAAACAAAGCCTTAATACTAGAGAAAGCTACAGTATGGACCAGTACAAAATCAAGTAGTGGTACAAGGACAGTGCAATGTGAAAAGGTTAATGTACAATTGGCAGAAGCATCCCATTGTATCATTAATAAACTTAAGGTGCCTTATGGAAATTGCTTTTGTCCCATTTACATTGCTAATTTGCAAAATTTCAGTGTTGAGAGTTATCAGTGTAAATTCATTAAAGCATCTGCAGCAATCAATGAACAATTGTTTATGGAAGAATATAATAAGGCAGCTGAACCTGAGACAGATGTGTTTATCTTGTTCACAACTGGAAAATGTGATATCACATCACTTCCACCAAGGTCAGCAATTGTGAAGTGTGGAATTCATATTTTGGCCCTTTTTCTGGGTGTGCCTTTATTTATTCCCAACAAAATCCACCAAATATAAATAAAGCAGTTTACACTGTTCTGACAGCAATAACAGGGATTGGTACAAAACGTGCAGATGTCATAATGGATGAATGAAAAAAATGTCAATTTACAGATATTGAAGATTGCAATAGGTGAACAAAAATACCAAAAGATGTATTAACAAATTTCCATTTTTAGATTAAATCTATTCCTATTTTTTATACCTCATATTTTTCTGATTCAAGTGTCCTTTTTCATTGTGTTCTGTATCAAAAATTTTATTTTATCATTTTTTCAACTGTTTTATTAAACAATAATAAATAAAGATTATCCTTTATTGCTCTAATTGAATTTTTATTATATAAAGAAATTTGAAAATGCTCATTCCACAAAGACCAACTTAATTGAAAAACCTTACAAAGTGAACATAAAATTATATGTATAGGAATAAGTGTATATGAAAAGTAATAATAAGTATAATGATTCTAATGAATATGAAAAAGCAATTGATTTTTTAGAAAAGGTTTGTAAATGTGGTTGCTCTTCAAGAATTCCCAAAGAGCAATTTGCAGAATTAAGGGAATCCTTTCAAGCCCTCTCTAAACCAGAACAAGACATATTTTTGATGGCACAACTTAAAGCCATGAATAGTGGATCAATAAGTACTAGTAGATGCCCTAAAAAGAAAAATAGATCTAACAAAAGAACTTTTTATCACTGAGATTACAATACACCTCTTTGTCAAGAAACTTATCTAAATATGCTAGGAATTGGCAGAACTTACTTTGAAAATATAGAAATCATCTGATAAATAATGGTCTTCTACCAAGAATTCATGGTAATATTAAAAGAATGCCTCAATGGAAAACTAAAATGGTGATTGA